CCCCCCACCTCTCCCCCACCCCCAGCTCCTGCCTCTAGCAGAGCTCGGCAGCCCCCACCACTCCTGGCTGCTGCCTGGGTCAGTGGGGGCCAGAGCCCTGCCCCGTTTCCTAGCTCAGCCTTATGCCCCCCAGCCCCCCCTCAGCATCCCAGGCCAGGAAAGAAGAGTTCGGCCCTGTAGGAATCATGTTGTCTTGTCTGCTGCCTAGTTGGTGTCCTGGCCCCTCCCCAGACTCCAGCCCCAGGGGAAGGAGGGGGCAGGGGCACTAATTCTACACCTTGCCCCCAGCTGTGTGTGATCTCTCAGCTTGAGCCTTGGTCTGTAGCAGAATTGAGCCCTACCCTCCCCTTCCCCCAGGCTTGTTTGGGGTGGGGGTAAGCACCTCTAGGCTCCCTTCCCTAGTGGCTGGGAAGGGGGTGGGGGGTAGGGAGCCCCTGGCCCACCCTGTGCCCAGCTTGCTGCAGCACTCCATGTCCAGCCCAGGCACCCACACCTGTGCTAGATGAGCCAGGCACCCCCCCCACCTCATCCTGCTGGAGCTGAGGGAGGTCTCTGCCCTGCCTGGGGGCTTGGCCTGGCTGGTAGGCATAGGCTGCTCACAGAACCGAGCTGCCTCGGCCCCCCAGCATGGCTTTGATACACTCCTCCCCGCGCCTGCTCCCCTGTGTGTGTGCACCCACCCCCACTCCTGCCCGATCTGTTGCAGATTCAGGTGGTTCTGTACAAACAAGAAAATGCAAAATAAATGTTTTTATTAACAACCTCTGCTCATGGCTCCATGTGTCGTCCCTTGGGGGAGGAGGGCTTGTACCCTGCCCTTGGCAGCCCCAGGCCCAGGGTGCTGAACTCCAAGGAGGGGAGCCATGCAGGGCTGCTCTTATCCATCCTGCTTGCAGAGAAGCGGTGGACCTGCCTGGGGCAGCCCTTCCCTGCAGCCAGGCATCAGAGGGAGGAGAGGGGCTTCTAGGAGACCCCAGCACTGGCCCCTACCCTTATCCCAAGTCCAGGCTTACCTGGAGGGGGGATGCTGCCTCCCCTCCCCTGGACCCAGGTGCCCTAAACTCCCTTCACTCCTCCAATGGGCTGGAGTGAGCCCAGCTCCTCCACTCTCCCAGCAAGAGGCTCCCACCTGTGCCCAGCTAACTTAAAGGGCCCCTATCCCAGCATGCTTTGCTGCACCTACCCCTTTAAATCCAGCAGAGTCCCATAGAGTTGGGCTGCAGCAGGGTGGGGGCGAGTACCAGAAACTTAGCACCACTGGTGGGGGGGTGTCCTAAGGTACCCCCCCTGCTGGGGGTAGCTGGGGCTCCCTTAGAGCAGCAGGGGGGTGCTTGGAACTGGAGTGGGGGAATCCGTACCCTGGTCTGGGGATGGGTCCCAGCAGCTGCAACAGCACTGGCAGCCGTCTCAAAGGACTATGAAGCTCTGGTTCCTTCTCCCCCCAGCACCTATAGGGCCATCCCGTGTGGGGAGAAGCCAGGCACAGAGCCACTGCGTCCCTGGAGCTGCCCCTTTGGGTGCTAAGAGCAGAGGGCCCTGGGCTAGGCACCCCCTTCTCCACCCAGTTCAGCTGTCACTTGGACCCTGTTGCCTTTACTCCCCCTGTGTGCCTCCCCTTTTCCCTTCCGCCCCCACTGGTGCAGCCCCAGAGCCAGACAGGACCTCTTCTCCCCAGATGCCAGCCCCACTATCCCCCCAGGGGCCCTAGGCTATGCTGGAGGTGGTGGTGCTGCAGGCATTCAGGCCTTGCCCTACCCTATGCAATCCCCACCTCCCACTGCCTTCACTCACATGTGCCCACTGGGCTTGGCACTTGCAATAGTATACGAGAGCTCCAAATCAGTAAAGGGTGGGGATCCCCCTTTGCCCTGTGGGGTGGGGTAGAGAAAACCCCTGATAAAATAATGTAAATGTAGCTACAGGCTGGAGCCTGAGGCAGGGGGAAGAGCTGGGGCAGGGTGTCCAGGCCAGGATGGCTACTGGCTCTGGAGATAAATTAGAGAACATCAGGACAGAGGCAGTCCAATAAATAGTTAAAAGGCCGGTGGGGGTTGGGGGGGTCTGTGTAGCCCTCCCCTCGCGCCCACCCGGCAGCATTCTCATGTCTGGTGGACTTCGTGGAACATGAGCTCACGGGGGATGCGGGTCTCGGGGCCAAAGGCAGCGGCTGCCCGGCGCTCAAAAGCAGCCACCATCTTCTTGACCACCTCATCGAAGAAGATGGCTGTCAGCTGGGAGTGCAGCAAGGAACGGAACTCGAAGGAGATCTGTGGGGTGGGGGCACCATGACCAGCTAGCAGTGGGGACCAGGACCCCCATCCCCAGGGCTCAGGATGGGACCCAGGAGTCCTGAGCTAGAACTCAGAGATGCCCACAGGCACTTCACAGCCCCCCACGGCGTGGCCTGGCTCCAAGCCCCCAGGCACACAGCGGGGCATCCTTACCGAAAAGTCCACAGTGCAGGTGCGGGGGTAGCCATGGATGCCAGGGCTGAAGCGCCAGCTGGTCTCCAGGTGGTTAAAGAGCTTCCCATCGGTGCAGACAGCCTGGGGGACACAGAGCCACGATATGGGTCAGGGCAGTGCAGGACAGCCAGGCACACGGGCTCCCTACCGCAACAATGGGGCCTTACCTTAACGAGGTGGGGGCGCACGAGTGTGATGATAGAGGTGTAGCGCTCCAGCAGTGGTGGGAAGCCCACCTCCAGCTGCGCCCGCACGTGGCCCGCACGCCGCAACACCACCACCGACTTCTTGCACCAGGGCACAAAGCTCTTGTACTCTTCCACATTGGACACCACGTCATACATCTCTTCCATGGAATACCTGTGCCGGGGGGGGGGGGCATGACAGAGCCCTCAAACGGAGCCCCCACCTCTGGGACCACAGGGCACACAGCCCAGTGTGGTTGCCCGCCCCCCGCCCCGCTGCCCCCCGTGGCGCTCACCCAATGATGCGCCGCTCTGAGTACTCTTTGTGCTTGTTGGTGAAGGGCCCGGCCAGGTTGATGAAGGTCCGGCTGGGCGGCGCATGGGGTGCCTGGTTCAGGCCACCGAGGGCCTGTGCCACACAGCTCAGCTGCACGTCGCAGAGGGAGACGAACCGGGGACCACGGGCAGGCCTGGGGGAAGGGCAGAGACACACTGCCAATGCTTCCACATGAGGGCTGGGGGGCTGCAGCAGAGCTGGGGGTGCCTGGCTGGGCAGGGAGGTCCCCAGGGTCCCCAGCCTGTCCCAACCCTGCCCACAGTGCCAGGTGCTGACCCCCTAGCACATCCCTGGCTGCTTCCTTCCCCAGCTGGCGGGGGTGGGGAGGGGGAGGCAGGAAACGGGATGTGGCGCCAGCCCCCACCCACACCCAGGCAGGGAGATGTCATTGGA